ATATAGGTTGTATAATATTGAGGAATTTTCCTTCTGTTCCTATCTTCTTAAGTGTCTTAAGCAGGAATGGGTGTTGGATATTATTGAATGCTTTTTCTGCATCCATGGATATTATCATGTGGTTCTTATAATTTTTCCTGTCAATGTGGTAAATAATACTAATGGTCTTTCATATGTTGAACCATCTCTGCATCCCATGTATGAATCCCACTTGGTCATGGTGAACTATTTGCTTTATATGCTTTTGTATTCTATCAGCCAGTATTTTGTTAAGGATTTTTGCATTGATGTGCATTAGGGATATTGAGCTGTATTTCTCAATCCTTGTGGGATCCTTGCCCACTTTAAGTATCAAAGTTATTCTAGCTTCATAGAAAGAGTTTGATAGTTTTCCGTCTTTTCCTATGTTCTGGAAGAGTTTGTGTAGACTTGGTGTTAGTTCTTCCTTAAATGCTTGGTAGAATTCTCCTGTGAAGCCATTTGCCCGGGGGATTTTTTGGTTGGTAATCCCTTGGTAACCTTGACTATTTCTTCTATTGCTTTGGGTCTATTGAGGTTCTTGACATCCATCTGGGATAGTCTAGGGAGGGATTGTTTTTCCAAGTATTTGTCCATGTCTTCCATATTGTTGAATTCATTGGAGTACAGTCCTTCGTAGTACTGTGTAATTATCCTTTTGATTTCATTTGGGCCTGCTGTAATGTCCCCTCTTTCATCCCTCATTCTTGCTACTGAAATTTGTTCCCTTTTTTCCTTTGGTTAGATTTGGCAGAGGCCTGTCAATTCTATTTATCCTTTCAAAGAACCAACTTTTAGCAGCAATAATTTCTTCCATAATTTTCTTATTTTCCCTCTCCTGCATCTGAGCCCTGATTTTTATTTATTTTTTTTCCTTTTGCTTTTAGTAGGATTGTTCTGTTGAGGCTCTAATTGGTGTAAGTTTTGTGCCAGCACCTCAACCACAAGTCTCTCATCCTTTTTCATGTGTGCATGTATCAGCCTTCATCTGATAAATGCCTTTGCTTTATAGCAAGAATTAATTATATATCAAGAAAGCATTCTTGCCCAGTCCAACTCAAGTCCATAAGTCCCTCTTCAGACTCACACAGCCATATGCCGTGATGCACATTGCAGCAAGATCACAGGCTGATGGGTGCAGAGTCGTGTGGTTCCAAGGTCAGTGGAACATGGCAGGGCAGTGGCAGTTCTCAGGGTGGCCAGCAAGCAGGAAAGTGAATAGGTACAGACAGGGGAAGACCACATCAGATAGCATCAGGTTGTGATCTGATTGACAGGGAACAGGGAAGACAAAGATGAATGAATGCACTTGAACGGCAGAGAATACTGAAAGCACATGGACTTCCAAAGAACAAGGAAAGCTGCCTTGGAAGACGTTCCTACCGTCAGAATGCTTCTTAGAAGCAAGGATGGCGAGAATTCATCTCATGTACTTTGGACATGTTGTCAGGAGAGATTGATACCTGGAAAGGACATCATGATTGGTAAAGTGGAGGGGCTGTGAAAAAGAGGGATACCCTCAAAAGATGGATTGACAGTGCCTGCAACAATGGCTCAAAATTGTGAGGAGGGTTTATTTCTGTCATCCACTATGAATCCGAAATAACTTAATGACACCTACTGATGTCCAGTTTTGTGCATTGCATTTAGTTGTCATGTATTTTCAGTCTTGTTTAATCTGATCAGCCCTTCTCTGTAAAAACAAACGTTAACTTCTTTAAAGGTTAGTCCTTCATAGAATGGCCTTCAATTTTTTTTTCCCTTGGAGTTTCCTCCTAATGACAATCCTCTATGCATTTTCAGCAGAAAAATCTTATATATGTGATTTTATGACTATCCATTTTATCAGATGTCAGTTTGTCCCACTCTGAGTGATTAATAAAACAGAAAAAACTTTTCCCTAAACAGATCTTTAAGGAATATTCATATTTTGATCTCAATATATTAGAGGTACTTGGTGCTACCAACTCAAAATGTGTTTTTTCTTATTCTGCTGCATAATTTGGCTTGCTTCTGTGCATTGCTGACTTGGTTTTAATTTTCATAAATATCATGCATATACCCAATTGGATTTGAAATATTCACACAAAATTAAAAAGTATTTGACGAAAATTATTTGTAATTGTATGTTGTGCTTATTTGATTTACAGATATAACGAAAATTCTACAGAGATACAGATTATCAGGAAGTTGTCACATGGTTACATTTCAACTTGAATTTCAGATTCTGGAAACTCAGGTAAATTAAAGGGATATATGGTGATAACAGTGATGTTTCCGCTATGAACTTATGAGCTCCTCTTCAGCTATACCGCTGAACTGTCCTCAATCAGCTCATCAAATAACTAAAGAGGATGTGGAACAATTGTCACAACTGTGAACATGATACTTGCTTACATGCAGGGCAAGGTCTATATGTAGATATGAGGCTAAAGGCAGTATTTTTCATCCTTGTCAGAAATACCTGTGTCCTCAGCACAGAGACTGTCTCAAGTTGTTTTTGCTGTATTTGATATAAATTGATATCAGAGTATCCATTTTCCGTATGTATCAGACAGCTACTGCCTGAGAATCCTAGAACACTTAGTCCAGGTATTGAACTTAGAATGTGTGCATATGCTTTTTACAGTTCAGACTCCCACTACTAGGTCTGGCCAGCTGAGGAAGACAGAGGGATATGTAGGTCCCTCATTTAATGACAGTTCCCAGCTTGTGCCCTACATCAGAATGGCACTGTGATTCCCAAGTGATCAATAAAATCCACAGTGTGACATTGCCAAAGTCTTGAACAGGATATGTATGACACATAGTTGAGCCTTTTCATATGTTTGATATGTTTGTAATGAATCTCCCTGGGTGAATTACACCATTATCAAGAGATCGGTGTTACATCTCTTCCATGGGAGAAATGCCTCAGCCTTTGGCTTCATGCAAGAAAGAATTAACTCGGAAGCCTGGATTGTGATCCAAGTGAATTTTATAAAGGACAGAAGAAGTTTCAGGTTTACACAGGTACGCTCAGGGAACTTCAACCCGCACACACGTGGAGTCCTGAAGCCAGAGGAGATAGCTGCAAGGCCTCTGGCCTCCGAGGAGCAGCTTGAGAAGCTGAAGGGGGCCACAAGGCTCTGGATTCTAGCTTTTCAGGTCCTCTGCTGGGAGGCGTGGTTGACAATCCTGGTTGACCGCATTGGTTGAATTAAATTCACCTGGCCTAGATGGGGCCAATCCAGGTGTACTGCCCACCTAGGTGTACCACCCTTCCTGGCCTGGAGCTCGAATTTCTGAGCATGCGTAGTGGACACCCCAGTGTCTGTTCTAACTACCTAACAATTGGTACTAGCCTAGGGAACCATGCGGGGTCACCATGATAATTATGTTGTTCTGCATGATGTTAAAGTTCATCTGTTGGTGCCATTTGGAGAGGAAACCCTGTGCTGTGGGAATCGGGAAGAGAGTGTATGCAGACAAATTCTCTACGCTCATATTTTAAGGAGTCTGGGAGGCCGAGACTCTTGTGGAGGGAGGCCTTAATGCTTGTGAGTTGGAGATGTATCCTAGTCACATTCTCCTAACTAAAGCTGTTCCCGTGATTACCACCCCCCCCCCCCACACACACACACCGTGGTAATAATGCCATTTTTATGTTGGTGCTTACAAGAACATGATTGCTACTATATGCTTGAAGGGGAAGGTTTCTCTGCCATTAAAAGCATTCAGATAATCCCACCCTAAGTATGGCCCACTCCCTTCAGATAAGGATCATAGACTGTTCCCCTGCAGAAGAGCTCCGGGACAGCTAGGGTCAAGCCAGTTCAGAGATGACCAAGGGTAAACCGCCCTCTTAATTCTAGAGGTCACCCATCTTGTTACATTTGTACCTTCCTGATTCGTGTGTCCCTAGCACATCCCCTTCCTGTTAACCCTGTTACATATATTTATGATGTGGCTTGCATGCCTGAAATTATATAAGCCTATGAGAGAATACATTTCCCCCTCTCTCCTGATCTTGCCATTGGAAGAGATGAGCCCTTGCAAGTCTTGCCTATTGTTTCTTTAATTTACCCTTTAATTACACAACTGCCCCCTAGGACCCATTCAGTTGTGGAGGCTGATCCCCCACATTGTGCTGTAGTTTGTCCTGTATATTTGTCGTGTCACTTACATAGAAGGTTGCAGTCTAGCCTTTTGAATTTTCTTTCTGTGTAATTAATGTGTTCTTGATACATTGAGTGCTCAAATACCTACAATTTGGGGCGTGTTGGCAGAGACCTAAGCTTGAGAGTTCCATTTCATTGCCAAATACACTTGCATTTTCAGTATACATATCACCCAGGAAATTACTCAGGCACTGAAGGAGCCTTGGTGACTTGCAGCCCTTTTCTCCTATACATGTACATCTACAGTTGCTCCATAGATTATTTGGAGAGAACCTAGGCTATGAGAAAAAATTGATTTATATTTGGAAAATTTGGTCTACAAATTTATCTGAAAGTAGAAAAACCGCTCTTTAAAGTTGAGATAAAGTCTGCTCAGTAGAGTTGTAGATTCCAGTGGGGCTCTGGTCTGGGAGATAAAACATTTTAATATTTTCCCATTAGTTTATTTAAGTTATATGCTTCAATTGCCTTGACACCCCATCTGAACTGGTTGGGGATTACACTCAAGTGGCCCAAACTGGTTGCCTAAAGGCATAACTGGGTTGGTTGGGGGTGGCATCCCTGACTGCAGGAATAGCAATGGGGATGTTTGGGATGCTTGCCTTTCGGACATGAATGCTGGAGACTAAAAGGGTGTCTGAGTTGCTAGGCAAGCAGGACCTGGGATATGCAGCTCTGGAAGAAAGGGGGACTTGATCGATGGCTTTTTACATACCCTCTCTATTTAACTGAGAGATATTCATCTGCTCTGTGTCAGGATCCCTGTTAGTCTTGTTACCACTGTGTGTGTGTGTTTGATGTTTATACAAGCTAGGCAAGATAGGCAATCTTTTGCAGACAGCGACTTATCTGACAGTTTTTTGGGTATACAAGCTAGGCAGGATAGGCAATCTTTTGCAGACAGCGACTTATCTGACAGTTTTTGGGGTACATGGCAGGAGAGGTAGGGAAATGGGAGGGGAGAGGGACATGAGCAAGGAGCCAACAATGATGGGTACAAGGGAGTAGTAAGTGTTCTCAAATTGATAGTGAGGAGGGTGTAGCTTTTCTGCTCGTGTTTGATCAATTGAGTTGTATCTGAGAAAAATTACTGAGAGGTGAATGATGGGGAAGCATGATAGAGGGGCAGGAGGAAAAAAGAAAAAGAGGAAAGAAGAAACAAATATATGTGTGTATATATATATATATATATATATA